CTTCGAAATGTAGTAATTGGAAAGTTCGGATTCATTGGTCGAAAAATCCAGTTCACTTAAATGCAAATAAATTCGGAGAATTTTAATTGAAACTCGAGAGAAAATACCATTTAACGAATTGAACGATTGTCTTTGTTATAGAGCTCGCAAATTTTTTATCTAATTCATAAGATATAAATTGTAAAATGTACCAAAAGATTTAAAAATTAGATAATAAAATTATGAGAAATTGAAAAAAAAGTTCAGGAAAAATTGATTCTAATTTGAAATAAATTTTGTTGTTATATAAAATTCGTAAATGACATTTGTAATTACAAATAATGTTAAAATTGATCTTGATATGCTTCTGTATACTTAACGAATTAGAATTTATGAAATGCCTTCATTTGCAATAATATCTCTTAAACTGCTATCGCCAGTGAACGGTTGCACTTAAAGACAGGAAGTGTGACTGAAATCTGCCGTTAGATTTGCATCTTGAGCATCATCCGTGCCGCTAGATTAAGCTTCTACTGCGTCCTTATCTGGTTACGCTTTTTGCATTACTCTGCAATAAATACCTTGCAAAACATTTAACATTCGAGTTCAAGCGTTACAGTACGTGTCTGATCAAAGGGTTTAATGATTTCTTGGAAATGACCCCTTTTTCAAAGGTGGAAAATATCTAACATCAAAATTTAAAAAAACAACACTTCTTTCAAATAGAATTAAAAAATAAAAACCTCTTTTTAAATTTTACAGTATTTTTTGAAAAATACGATCGAAAGTATTATTCTGAAAAAAATTGAAATCTACAGAAAATTTGTCTGGGAGGTTAAAAACTAATGAAAACAACTTTTATATTTTTATTATTACCTTTTACTATAAAGGAAATAAGTTAAATGTATATTAATCAAAATTTTTTAATAGTAAACTTGAAAAAATTCATATTTTTAAAAATTCCCGATTATTTAAACGTCAATAACTTTTGATAGACTTAAGCTAGAATGACCGACAATAGATCAAAAGAAGCGTACCACAGGATTGTTTAAAATAGAGGAAAACATTTTCAATTCCATCCTATTTCTTAAAAAATAATGAAAGAAACTTTTTTTTCGAAAAAATTAAAATCTCAAAAAAATGTAATTTTGACGTTAAACATAAATGGAATCAATTCAGAATACTTCACATATTACCTATTACTATAAATCTTCAAAATAAAATTAAAATAATTGAAATTTTTTTAAAATAAACACAAAAAATTAAAAATTTTCAAAACTAATAATTTTTTTGAATTTCAATAACTTTTGTTAACTTTACTCTAGAATGTTCGTCAATAGATCAAAATAAGCGTCTTAAAGAACTGTCTGAAAGGGAAGAAAAGTTTTTTGATTTTATCAATTTTTTAAAAAATGATAATAAAAAAACTAATTTAAAAAAAAATTAAAATTTCAAAAAAAAGTAATTTTAATGTTAAAAGTGAATGGAATCATTTTAAAATCCTATATTTTTAAATATTACTATAAAATATGTAAGGTGAAATTAAATTAAACTAATTTTTTAAACGATAACTTAAAAAAATTTTATATATTACAAAAATTATAATTTTTTGAATTTCAATAACTTTTGTTAAGTTGAATCTAAAATGTTCGTCAATAGATCAAACTAAGCGACTTAAAGAACTATTTAAAAGGAAAGAAAACTTTTTTGATTTTACCAGTTTTTAAAAAAAATATGATAAAAAAACAAATTTGAAAAAAAATTGAAATTTCAAAAAAAGGTAATTTTAATGTTAAAAGTAAATGGAATCATTTTAAAATCCTATATTTTTAAATATTACTATAAAATATATAAGGTGAGATTAAATTAAACTAATTTTTTAAACGATAAATTCAAAAAATTTTATATATTACAAAATTTATATTTTTTTGAATTTCAATAACTTTTGTGAAATTCACTTTAGAATGTTCATCAATAGATTAAAATAAGCGTCTTAAAGGACTGTTTATAAGGAAGAAAAACTTTTTCGATTTTACCAGTTTTTAAAAAAAATATGATAAAAAAACAAATTTGAAAAAAGTTTAAAATCTCAAAAAAATGTAATTTTAATGTTAAAAGTAAATGGAATCATTTTAAAATCCTATATTTTTAAAAATTACTATAAAATATATAAGGTGAGATTAAATTAAACTAATTTTTTAAACGATAAATTCAAAAAATTTTATATATTACAAAAATTATATTTTTTTGAATTTCAATAACTTTTGTTAAATTTACTCTAGAATGTTCATCAATAGATTAAAATAAGCGTCTTAAAGGACTGTTTATAAGGAAGAAAAACTTTTTTGATTTTACCAGTTTTTAGAAAGAAGATGATAAAAAAACTTTTTTGACAAAAAATTAAAATCTCAAAAAAATGTAATTTTGATGTTAAAAATAGATGGAATTATTTTAAAATTCTATATTTTCTAGTATTACTATAAAATATATAAGTTAAGATTAAGCTAAACGAATTTTTTAAATGATAAACTCAAAAAAATTCGTATTTTTAAAAAAATGCGATCATTTGAATACTAATTACTTTTTATAGATTTTTGATAAAATGTTCATCAATAGATCAAAAGAAGCGTTTTAGAGAACTGTTTAATATGAAGAAAAACTTTTTTAATTCCATTCTGCTTTTCTTAGAAAAAATAGTAAGCAAACTATTTTCAAAAAAATTCAATTCTCAAAAAAATGTAATTTTGACTTTAAAAATGAATAGAATCAATTCAGAATACTATATTATTACTTAATCAGTATAAATTTTCGAGATTAAATTAAAATAATTGAAATGTTTAAATACTAAACCCCAAAAATCAAAATTTTTCAAAATTCTTAATTTTTTTGAATTTTAATAACTTTTGCTAAGTTTACTCTAGAATGTTCGTCAATAGATCAAAATAAGCGTCTTAAAGGACTGTTTAAAAGGGAAGAAAACTTTTTTGATTTTATCAATTTTAAAAAAAAAGACGATAAAAAAACTTTTTCAAAAAAAATTTAATTTTTTAAAAAAATGCAATTTTGATATTAAAAATAGAAGGAATAATTAAAAAATCTTATATTTTTGAGTACTACTTTAAAATTTATAAGTTAACATTAAATTAAGAGAATTTTTTGCATTATAAATAGAAAAAAATTCATATTTTTCAAAATTCGTTATTTTTTAAATGTCAATATCTTTTGTTAGATTTATGCTAGAATGTTCGTGAATGAATCAAAAGAAGCGTCAAAAATTATGGTTGGAAAAAGAAAAATACTTTTTTGATTTTATCCTGTTTTGCAAAAAGGATGGTCAAAAAACTGTAGTGAAAGAAATTGAAATTTAAAAAAAAAATTTAATCTTTTTTAAATTAGTAAATTTTTATTGAGTAGTAGTAATCTATTGAACGGATAAAAATAGATAGGAAGACATTTTGTATATAAATTTTCTAGATTGTCTTAATCCTGCAAGACGTTGGTCACAACATATCTAATTTATAATACAGACACGTGTTTATAGGCACCTAAGTATATAGACAGTGCCTTGACTTCGCATGAAATTCGATTATCTAAATTCTTCTATCGCACATAAACATACAAAACATGTATGTTTGTATGAAAATCAAAGTTTGTTCAAATATAAAAAAAAATTTATTTTCAGATAAGTTTTAAGCACTCTGATTAACTGTTATATAATGACTATAAATTGAAACTAGTCAAAACGGTGAAAATCTATATTTGAATTGAAAAAATGTTTAATAGTGAAACTTGTAAAGTTTTGACTATAACAATTTTTTTTCTGTTTTTTATTTGAAAATTAGAAACACATGGGAATCATTAAACAATGGTGGGAGGTGCGCAATGATTTTTGGCGGGAAACGCAGAGTGCGTCGTTCTAATCAACCTAACAAGTCTAGACCAACCTGACCTGAGTCAACAAGAGGACGCGGTTGGGTAGCAGCGGACTGGCCGGGGGGGTGGGAGGAAGGGAGGAAGGTAGGGGGGGGGGTGGTCGTATATACAATACAAAAAGGAGAAACGGTTGAGTCGCGAAATTCCGGAAGTTCGGAAGTGCGATTACAGGTGCTGCTTTTTTAGACGAGTGATATTGATTTGGGAGAGGCTTCGTACTCGTGGCACGAGCATTCCGTGTGACTCGGAGGTAGTCGTGCTCGTGGCACGATGCATCGGCGCAGCGCGCATCGAGGGGTATTACCGCGTTGGTAGAATAAACTGGGGAATCCCTCTTTCTCTCTCCCTCCCCCCAAGTGTCATCCCCACCATTGCGTCCCGCCGGCTCCAATCGTCTCCCCCCTCCCTTCGCCCCCCGCCGTTACCGGCGTCGTCGCTCCGCGGGTAAAGAGGGAAGCACCTCCACCACCCGTCCCGTCGCGACGAGCCATCAAAACCCCTCCCCACTGCCCCAGGTCCGACGAACATAACTTTTTCACCCTGGCCGTACCCTTTCCCTTCACCACTCCCCCCACCTCCCTCTCCAAACCGTTGGTCCGTTTCCTCGACCTCCACCTCTTCTTCTTCTTCTCCTCCACCTCCGCGGCCTCTGCCTCTGCCGCCGCCGTCGTTTCTCGCTCCACACGGACCTTCTCCACTCGTCCTCTCTCACCCAACTCGTTCTCTTCTCCATATTCCACCCAAACCCAATCCAGTTCAGAAATCCCCTCTCCAGTTCATGCCGGCGACGGAAGCGTGGCAACACTGCGACGTCTCGGTCTTGGCGAGTACTCGGGGCCAGCCGAGTCTACCGAGTTTGTCTACCGGCGCGGTTTACCAAAAGAGAACCGGAGATTACAAGTTTCGTCGTTGCTTGCCGCGGATCGGCACACAAATCGGCATGTGAAATAAATTAAATAAATCCTTGTGTCACACTATTACAAAACCTCGTGTTTTTGTTTCCCAACAAAAAAAAAAAAAAAAAACCTCTCGCGCACGCACGCGGACAAGTGTCGCAAACTAGAAAAAAAAAAATACTTTCAAAAAAAAAAGAAAAGAAAAAAATAAAAAACGGTGTAAATGGCGCTCTCCGCACGAAATCAGTCGACGTCGTACGTGAACTTATATTATTCGATTGTTCAACGCGCAGCGTCACACTACTTTAAGGAATACTACAATTCCGGTGAGTACATATCACCGTCGGCGAATGCCATTTCTCTCTCTCTCTTTCTCTCTCTCTCTCTTTTACTCTCTCTCTCTCTTTCTCTCTTTTTTTCTCTCTGAAAAAAATAAAATTCCGTTTCGTTTTTTGGACACAACACAGGACCCTCCGGCCACACCGACGTTTGGCCGCTATTGCCACCCGCAGCCCATTCAAACGTTTTTAACCCCCCTTCTGCTGCTGCCGTCTCTCTGTTCCTCCCGCTCGTCAACCCCCACCCACCCAGCTTGATTCGTTTTGCAAAACAACCCCAACGATATCGGGCCAAGCAACGCACACCGCTATTCATCTCACGGCGGTGTGATAAACTTTAAATTTTCCCGCCTTCGTCAACGCCGCTCTCTATATCCAAGGTGCAACTTTTGCCCCAGCCTAGTGCACGCAACCACATGCAATATACCATTGTTAAATTAACAAACGCCTATGTGCCAACGTACTCTAGACACGTGTCAATTATTATTCTCGTTCCAAAGTACAGCGAAAATCAGTTTTTCGCGATAAAACTTTTCCTTAAATCTTCTTTTATTTCTTCAAATTCAAAAAAAAAAGTGAAACAAAAAGTGTGCCAAAAATTATATTTTCCATTCTGTTTAAAAATCATCTTTTTCTAATTATTATCAACGCGTGTGTCTGTCTGTGTCCGCTTCTCTCTCTCTCTCTCTCTCTCTCTGTGTGTGTGAGTGTGTGCGATTGGTTACTCAGCAAGTCTGGACTTGCCATAACTTTTCTACTCACAGTGCCTTCCATTTATTCCTACCCTAGTAATTATTAACTCCAAGGCCGTAATATTTGGTTGAAATAAATTTTTTTTCTCTCTTCGTCGTAGCACTTGCAAAAAAAAAGAAAGAAGGCCACAAAAAAATTCGATTTTCAAGAAAAATTCAAAAATTTAGAGAAAAATGAATTTCTCTAGACATTTGCGGCCACTGTTTTCATTTGGGTTTAATATTTTTAATTTGGTTTTAAAACATTGTCGAAATTATTAACCGATTATTAACTAACTTAATTTATGCAAAAATTACATGAGAATTGAAAAAAAATTTCATTCGTTTCTTGATTTTTATTCAAATTTTACTTCCTGAGAAAATTAGAGTCTTCAGTTTAGTGCTTTTTCAGGAGAAAAAAAGGAAATAAAATAAAAACAAAGTGCTTACCAACGAAGAGTAACAAAGAACAAGAGTTTATACAAACAATTAGTATCAAAAACAAGAGTTTATATACAAACAATTATTAACAAAAACAAAGTTTATATACAAACAAATGGTGACAAAAACAAAAATTCATACAAACGAATAGAAACAAAAACAAGAGTTTATAAAAAACGAATGTTGACAAAAACACGAATTTATAAAAACAAATAGTAACAAAACAAGAATTTATACAAACGAATAGTAACAAAACAAGAATCTATACAAACGAATATTAACAAAAAACAAGAGTAAAAAATAAATTAATACAAGTAAAGAAATTGTGGAAAAAGAAGACAAAATTATTTAGGAAAAAATGGTGAAAAAATAAAACAAAATTATTCAGGAGCAAACAGTGAAAAAATGAAACAAAATTAATTTAGTAGCAAATAGTGAAAAATAAAACAAAATTATTTAGGAACAAATAGTAACAAAAGTCTATACAAATAGTGACAAAAGAAAAAAAAAAAAAGTTTGTAAAGACTTTACAAACAAAAAAAGACTATACAAAAACAGAAGTAACAAAAAACAGTAAAAACAGTAAACAGTAGAAACAAAAACAGAAGACTATTCAACCAAATATTATAAGAAAAAAAAGTGTTTACAATAGACGAATAGTAACAAAAATAAGAGTTTATAATTTATATATACAAACAAATATTTTCAAAAAAAGTGACACAAAAGTTAACATAAAACAAATGGAAACAATAACAAAAGTATATACAAACAAATAGTGCAAAAACAAGAGTTACAAACAAATAGTAAAAAAAAAGTGTATACGCATCAAATATTAAAAAAAAACAAAAGTGAACACAGACGAATAGAAACAAAAAAAAATACAAAAATTAGAAAGAAACAAATTACTAATATTAACCAAAACAAATATTAACAAAAATGAGAGAATACACAAACAAATAGTAACAATAACAAGAAATTATACAAAGAAATAGTAGAGAAAAAAGTGTATACAAATACATAGTAAAAAGAAAAGAGTGTACAAACAAATAGTAAAAAAAAATAAAACAAATGTGCGTATACTAAATAGTAGTTATACTAAATTGTAGAAACTACTTTCAAGGAGAAAATAAAACAAAAAAATTTCCATACGCAAAAAAATAATAGAAACAATATAATCAGTGTAGAAAGTAATAAAATAAACAAAAAAAGTGTGTCTACCGATAAATAAAAACCAAATGAATAAATAGTGTCTAGAGATAAACAAAACAAACATGTACAAACATGTATTAACATATTGTGTACAATTAAATATAAAGTAAAATAAATAAATAATACAAATTAATAGAGCAAAGCAAATCGACATAGTGTTTACAAAAAACAAACAAATAAATAGTGAATACAAAAAAAATGGTCCAAACAAATAAATAGTGAATACAAAAAAATAGTCCAAATAAATAAATAATAGTGAATACAAAAAATAGTGGAATAAATAGTAGAATAAATAGCAGACACAAAGGAATATAAGTAACAAATAAATTGTGCCTACAATTAAATAGTGGACACAATAAAATAGTGTTTAAATAAAAATAGTGGTGACAAATAAGTAGTAAATAGAATTCAAAAGTGAATGCAGTAAAAATTTTTAAAAGTTTTTTAAAATTTTATTTTAAAACTTTCTAACAGTGCCTACAATTAAATAGTGCATACAATTGAATAGTGAATACAATTGAATAGTGAATACAATTAAATAGTACATACAATTAAATAGTACATACAATTGAATAGTGAATACAATTGAATAGTGAATACAATTAAATAGTGAATACAATTGAATAGTGAATACAATTAAATAGTGAATACAATTAAATAGTGAATACAATTAAATAGTGAATACAATCAAATAATGAATAAAAATAAATGATAGAGTCAAATAAATAGTAGAAACAAATAATAACGAAAACAAACAAATAAATAGTGAATACAATAAAATAGTGTATAAAAATATACCCTTAAGTTAAAATAAATAGTAAATACAATAAAATAGTAGAATTCAAAAATTACTCTAACAAATATTAAACGTAATATAGTACAATTAAAAAAATAGTGAATACAGTAAAATACTGTATAAAAATAAATAGTCGAATTAAAAATAGCAAAGAAAAATACGGCAAACAATATTAAACATACAAAAACATAGTGTATAAAAATAGTCTTTTTAATTGAAAAACTATTGCAAAAATATGAAAAATGAAAAAAATGAGATATCTATAGTATCAATTAATGGAGAGAATATCAAATGTGTAAATATAAAGAGATAAAAAATTTTATGAAAGCAAATTTTATTCATTCACCTATATAATGTAAAATGAATTTCTTTAATGGAAAAAATGATGAGAATTATTTATCCAAAGGAAAAAAAGAAATTTACTCATTTTTCTCTCTCATCAGAACAAAATTTTTATTTACGTATGCAATGAAAACAAAAAAAAATTACTTGTCTCTGAATGATATTAATAATTGAATATTTTGAAAATTATACATTTGCTCAAAAATATTTTATTATTTTACTCTTTTTTTTTTTAAAAAAAAAGAGAAATTGACACTATCAATATTCAGAAAATTTACAAAATATCAAAATTATTCAAAAAAATAAATGCAGTGTCATGTTTAAAATTGAAAAAAGTTGCTGCAAAAGCGCAAAAATACAAAAAGAAAAACGTTTAAGAAATATTAATTTCTCTATTAAAATTTTCCATATTAATAATTAATAAGCAATGAAGAAAAGTAGAGCAAAACTTGAGTACAAAAATAATTTCTCTATATCAATGGAACTGAAAATAATCTTTTTCTTTTTCTTCTTCTTTATACATTTATTAATATATATATATATATATATATATATAAACTTTTGAATAAGAAATATGCTATTAATGCATCACTAGAAATACAATATCGTATGAAGATATTAGCATATCGCATATATACATACTGTCATTTATAAATGACTCACCATGTGGACGTAAAATATCTTCAATAGAATAAATAAAACATTCAGCAATGATGATTTAAAAATTTTTAAATATAAATTTTTCAGAAAAAAAAATTATCAAAAAATAAAATTTAGAAATAAAATGTATATTTTATATAAATAAATAAAATAAACAAATATATACAATATATAATATATATATATAATACATTTCCTTCGAGAAAAAATTTATTTCAATTTTTGGCACGCTTTTCACTTGCGAAACATTATTTTCCTATAAAAATTTTTCTCTTCATTAATTTTTTTTTCAGTTACTTTTTTTCTTGAATATAGGTACTTTTTTTTTATTTAGTATCCTTTTTTTATAGAAGTTGGAAAAAATCCCTCCTTCCCCCCCCCTCTCTCTCTCTCTCTCTTTTTCTCTTTGAAAAAAAAATAATTTTTAATTTCAGAAAAAAAAATTTCTCTCAATTTTTTTTTTTTATTTAAAAGAAAAAAAAATTCTTTCACTAGTTTCACGTATTTTATTTTTTCTCTTTTTTCCTTTATTTTTCTATATATACATATATAGAGAAGAATGTGTTTTCAACCATTAACGAGTGTTTTTCTTCTTGTGAATTTTTCCATCGTTAAGAGGACATAAAACAGAAAAGTGCAAAAAAAAGAAGTGCAGAGAATTTTCTCTTCTCAAAAATTCGTCAGAAAAAATACGGAAGATAAAAATTTTTTCGTAAATAAACAAAAATTATATTTTACATTTGCAGAGAGAGATTTTTCTTCTTTAAAAAAAATTTTTTTTTTTTTCTATTTACATAGGGGAAAAAAAT